ACAAATGTCCAGGCAGCAAATGTTTGGTCCACACTTACTGCAGAATAAAAGAATACAGTAGTATTATGTTATAGCAATGTATCAATAAAAAAGTTGAGCTGTTCTATGTTGTTTTTTTGGCAACCGTGACACAAAGGAAAACAATAAACATTTTCAGGGGGTTATTATATATAATATGTAACATATTGTAGAATGAAAATGGTTGCACCTTAAAATGAATAGGTATCTGAAAAGCAAAAGTTAACATATAGCTACGCATACACATTTGGACTAATGTACTAAAGGAACTGAGAATCTTCACTCAAAAAATTCTGCAATTGTGTAAAATGCATCTGTACATACTGTAACTGGATATTCAAGGGAAAGGGAAACTGGCTTTTCACATGATTAGGTAATTGAAGCAAATAACACACATTTTTGCAAACAAAAAAAAATCTAATTTGTATAATTTTAGACATGGTTATTAACATTACCAAGTTCTGGCTTTCAATTATTAGACTATAGATCATGATTAATAAAATGTATCCACTGTTTTGATGGAAGTCTTATGTTATGGTTTCAAATTCAGTTGCTCCCCTCCTAATAAATAATTTTATTTGACTAAATTTCTTTGTATGTGTAGAACACAACTTTGGCCACCTGTTCGCCTACTAGGCAACATTTAACATTTAATTTGTAATAAAAGCATGCTGTATCTCTAGGCACTGCAATCTGTTTTGTATTTTCACTACGGCTGCTCTCTTATGGGTAACCTGTTTTGTTTCCTTTTTTTTTTTTATAAATAAAATTCATTTTTGTTAGGAACAATTAGAAAGTAAGCCTTTGCTTGCAGTTACATTATTACTGCATGTCTCTTCATGTTTCTGACTACTTCTCTTTGAGGTTCATGTATCAAAAGTTTTTGAAAGCTGCCAATAGCAACCAGAATCCATCTGTTATTAAGTGCAAATTAGAAAAAAGAAAGGAAACAACATATGAGTATGAGTGTCCATTGTCTCAGAAATCCAAAGCGATGAAAATAATTATATAAATCCCACTTGAAATCAATTCTTTATAGTGTTGTAATCCTCAAAACAGCTTCCCTTAAGATTAAGTCCCAGATGTGATGAAACACGTCAGGGGAAGTGACGTTGGACGCACAGAGCAGGAACCGGAAGTGACCGGATGTGGCCATCTTGGATTCTGGAGCCGCAGTGTGTGTCCACCTGGAAGCTGCCTGGTAATCCCAAGCTATTTGGGGTTTCTTCTAATGCGCTATTTCTTGTTTATACATGTAAGCAGGTTTATTAAAGTTTATTCTTCTGTGATATACGGAATTACACTATCATCTTTTTATATACATCTTGCTTGGAGCCTGGATACTGGGGAATGGGCTTACGGTACCATGAGGGGATGATATTGTAACTATAACTTCAGGAGTGGAGGCAAGGAGACTGAGCGGTTTGCTGATTCCTTCATATGATATCCCACAGCGGTTTTTCTCTTATCTTTGGTAAGGGTATATATGCCTTATGTAGTAGAAGTGATACACCATTGGAGTTGTTTGGCACATCACTAGTTTGTCACAAGTGTTGTTGTGTTTTTTTCTTTTCACGTTTTTGCACTATTTTTTTGCGTTTGCACGCATGGAGTTTCTTTTTTTTTTTTCAGAGTTATTAAGTTAATGCAACTTGTTGAGTTTTTTTTATTTTTGAGGTTTTTTCGTGGAAGCTGTTTTGAGGATTACAACACTATAAAGAATTGATTTCAAGTGGGATTTATATAATTATTTTCATCACTTTGAATTGTTGAGACACTGGGCACTTATTTAATTAGAAGTTTGTGAGACTATATGTTTTTGGACACTTATTACTTTGAGGGTATATATTGATGTTTTTGGGTAGGAGGTTTTGCACCAGTGGGTGGGTTTGATGATTCTTTTAGGAATTCTTCATGATTAGTGCTTTCAAGGGTTGAAAAATTATTTCTATCTAGAATCGTGTAGTTTATTGGGTTGTTTTGAGGAGTTACCGTATTTACATTTATATGAGTATGAGACATATGACATTCCTCCAGACAACGCAGTGGGGGTTATTTACTAAAACTGGAGAGTGCAACATCTGGTGCAGTTGTGCATAGTAACTAAGCAGCTTACAGGTTATTTTGCCAAAGCTTAATTGAAAAAGCTGAAGTTAAAAGCTGATTGGCTACCATGCACAGCTGCACCAGATTCTGAGTGCACCAAATTTAGTAAATCTCCCCTAGTGTCTTTTTGTGTAATGTCTGATGTATAAGGATTGGGTCTTTTTTTTTCCTCCTTCTCCATGTGACTTTGTAATGTCTGATGTATAAGGATTGGGTCCTTTCTTTTCCCCTCCTTCTCCATGTGACTTTGTTTTTTTGCTATTTGGCTCAGTGCGAAGATGAGTCATATCTTAGAGGCAATCTAAAATAACAAGTGATTCAGAGATACCATTGAATGGCAAACAATTTACTAAGAATGATGGGAAGTGAGTGATCTGTTTTTCCTTGCTGCGATCTTCTCCCAACCTGCTCAATGAACAGGTGAAGGATGAAAGATTTGATCTCTTTTCCCATAGAAAGAAAAACAAATGATGAGCAGTCATGCAGAAATTTCCCAACATGTCGCAAAATCTCAGCGAGTGATAATGAGAATCTTTTTATTTCAGGAATAATTGTTACTGTCCCCTAGTTAGCCCCAGCACAGAGTGACCACTGAAAGTGTTGCTCAAGTCTATCTCATCTGTTAACAAGGAATGGGATTTGTAAATAATAAATTACAATGTATAGTTAAATAAATATTCCAGGTCAAGTTACTGTATCTAGGAATTAGGAATTCTAATATGCAAATAACCAATTAAACCAATTAAAGCAGCTCTTACAGTGGTTGCAAAGGTTCAAGGGTTTTTACCTTCATGAATTCTATGCAGAAGGTAAAAAATAATCTCTGTGAAGCAGCACCTCCCACCTAATACTCACCTAAGCCCCCTCTCAATCCAACAATGTGCACTGGAGTCTTGGCTATCCTGGGACTCCCTCTCTTCATTGGCTCCCACTGCTGTCAATCACAGCCAGTGAGCAAATGAGTAGAGAGGGTGGGTGGTCGAGCCACGGCTCCATGTGTGAATGAACACATGGAGCAGCGGGTGCCCCCATAGCAAGCTGCTTGAAGTGGGGGCACCTGACAGGAAGGAGGGGCCAGGAGAGCCTGCAGGGGACCAGAGAAGAGGAGGATCTGGGCTGTTCTCAGCAAAATCACTGCACACAGCAGGTAAGTATAGACATGTTTGTTATTTTTCAATAAAAAAAATGTAAGCCTTTAGTATTGTTTTAAAGCTCAACTTTGGGCTCCTGAAAAGTGTCCTAATACGTAGTTATTTCTATTAATTAAATCAATTATTAAAAAAAATGTTTCTTAGGCTTGCCAAATCATTCACAAGGTCTACTAGCTATCATGTTTTACTGGCGTTTCCAGTTTAAATGGCATTGTTATTATTCATTAGAAAAAGAAGAAAAATATTTAGGTGACCTCTCAATAGAGTTCAAAATGACTACTATGATTATACCAAAAGCATAACAGTCCAAAGTATTTTACTACACTGTAGTACTTTGGAGAAAGCCGAAGAAATTTAGGTTAACTAAAAAAAAAATTTTTGTTGTACACTGTCAGCATTATTGGCAATTAGTGCAGTTTATTAAAGTGCAGCTTTAAAAAGTATCTGCTTGTGATGTTTCCTAAATAATCACACAAAACTTGAAAACAAAATGTTTTACATTCAATTTTTTTTTATACTAAGGGTAAAGTGGATGGGTGATCTGAGCTTCTTTCCCGTCCCTAGTTTTTGTCAATGATTGCTTTATCAAACACTTCAGTATTCCTCTGTGGCAACACTTCATATGGGGAAAATGCTTTCATGATGCTGGCTGTTACAGCTGTTTAGATCCACAGTATAGAAACAAAGGACATTAGATAACTCAGTTTCTAAAATGACCAAATGTTTTGGGAATAGATATATATGGGGTGGGAGATGCACACAAAAATTATTTCCATGTCATTGTGAAAAAGGTTTTATTGGTACCGCAGCCCTAATTGAAAATGTAGTAAATTAGACTTTAATTCAGAAAAACGAATGGGGTTTTAAAAGTACCAAACCATATGAAACAATGTCAATTATACAATTGGAATAGGAAACTCTTAGACACAGAGGGTTCTGTTCATAAAACATTATCTACCGCTTTAAGATCAGTGGTTAAATAGCTCATAGAGTCTTTCAAAACATTTTTTCCATTCATCAAAAAGCGCTCCTAAAATAAGGTATGCATTGTTCCATTGAAATTTGTATTTATCTCATGAAATCAATAACTATTTTATCGCATGTCATCATGGCCACTGGAATACATACAGTAGAGATTGAAACACCTTAGTTTTTATTGATGTCTGTGCCCCTGTTAGAGAGATTCACTCGCTCTATTTCTACTGTTTCTCCTTATCATTGAAAGTGAAAGGGAAGGAAAATCCCACATTTTGGGTTGACATCAGAACACTAACATCTCCCTAATAGGCCACAGATGGCTAAAAAAAACCCGATGAGGGTTCTAACCCTTCCTTACTCTATCCAACATGAAAAAAAAATGTTGCTTTTAGTTATACTTTAACCGCTTCCCGCCCGTCATATAAGGTAATGACAGACACAAGGCAGGTCTCTCGTTCTGGGAGGACATCATATGACGTCCTCCCATTCCAACCGTGCATGCGCTGCTCTGGGAGAGTGCAGCGCGGCGATCGGTGATGCTCTGTGTCCCTAGGACACAGTGGATCACCGATATATAGAAAGAGCCGAAGATGTCGGCTCAGTCATGTGATCAGCTGTGTCCAATCACAGCTGATCACATGTAAATAGGGAAACGCCGGTTATCAGCTCGAGAGGAGAGCCGGTAATCGGCTTTACTCAGAGTGGACATCTACACTGATCATCAGGGCACTGATGGTCAGTGTGCCCTGATGATCAGTGTAGCCCCAGCAGTGCCACCTCTCAGTGTCCATCAGTGCCAGCTGTCAGTGCTCATCAATGCCACCTGCCAGTGCCCATCAGTGCCACATCAATGCCACATATCAGTGCCTACCAGTGCATATCAATGCCACATATCAGTGCCCATCTGAGCTGCCTTTCAGTGTTACCTATCAGTGCCAGTCAGTGCCACCTATCAATGCAAGTCAGTGCTACCTATCAGTGCTGCCAATCAGTGCCAGTCAGTGCCGCCTATTAGTGCACATCAGTGCTGGCTATCAGTGCACATCAGTGCTGCCTATCAGTGCCCGTCAGTGCTGCCTAACAGTGCCAGTCAGTACCATCTAACAGTGCCAGTCAGTGCCACATATCAGTGCCAGTCAGTGCCGCCTATCAGTGCTACCTCATCAGTGCCACCTACCAGTGCCATATATGAGTGCTGCCTTTCAGTGCTCATCAGTGATGCCTGTCAATGCCCATCCGTGCCACCTACCAGTGCCTCCTCATCAGTGCCACCTATCAGTGTCCATCAGTGCAGCCTATCAGTGCCCATCACTGCAGCCTAATTAGCGCACATCAGTGAAGGAGAGAAATCACTTATTTTAAAAATTTTATAACAACAACTAAGAAAAAACTTCTTTTTTTTTTTCAAAATTTTCAGTTGTTTTTGGTTTGTTTAGCAAAAAATAAAAAACCCAGAGGTGATTAAATACCACCAAAAGAAATCTCTATCTGTCTCAAAAAAATGATAAAAATTTTATATGGGTACAGTGTTGCATGACCACGCAATTGTCATTCAAAGTGCGACAGCGCTGAAAGCTGAAAATTGGCCTGGGCAGGAAGGGGGTATAAGTACCCTGTAGGTGAGTGGTTAAAGTCATTTTTGCTATGATATTTGGCAAATTCATTGCTATATCTATACCTGTTTTGTCTTGCTAGACAATGGCCATTGTCAGAGATTTACTAAAACTGTAGCACAGAGAATCTGGTGCAGCTATTTATAGTAACCAATCAGCTTCTAAATTCAGCTAGTTTAATGAAGCTTTGACAATAACACCTAGTAGTTGATTGGTTACTAGGCACAGCTGCACCAGATTCTCTGCGCTACAGTTTTGGGAAATGTTCCCCATTGTCATTCTCTGATGTTCTTCAAAGTCTCACTCTGGTATCCATTTGCCAAACCTTCAAACTGACAACACCCTTTCCCTAACAGCTCATGTGCCCAAACTAAAAAAAGCCTATGAAAAAGGTACCAGGGGCATCTCATGGGGCCCCCTACTGACCCCGGGCCCTCAGGCAGTGCCCAAGTTTCCAAATGGTCAGTCCGCCCCTGCCTGGGCCACTACTTATTTAACAGACTTATTTATTTATTTATTTCCTTTAGTGAATTGACTTTAACACTGGTTTATGCAGTATTTACCGATTGTTTTTGTTCTTTGAGGTAAATACCACATACAGTATTTGGAAAAATGTGTCAGGCCCACCCAAACACTGCATGGGATATGCTTGGTGAATGGAACCCACAGACAGCCGTTGAGGAGATGGTGTGAATAGCCATAGTGTACTGTTGATGGTAAAGCTATGCAATAGCTAGACTACATACTTATGCAGATTAAAACTTCACAAGACCAAGAGAACCATTCTGGAATTGCCAAAAATGTTTATCACTACCCAGGTTGGGCTTTGCGTCCACTATTGCAGTCTCAATATGCTAGCACGTAATTTTCCAGGCAGCTATTATGACATTGAATGTTCCAACAGTCTGCATTGTAGTGAACACAGGCAAGTGCAATAGCACTACACTTATGTATGCACCCTCAACATTTCAGCCCAAGAATACTACTTTGCGTATTTTATTGAGTTTGGAATTATTACTACAATGGCAGCCCTGGTTTAACTATCAAAGCCTAAGGCTTCATGTACACGAGCAGCTCCTAAACTCAAGCTTAGGAGCTTTTGGCATTTTTTGTACATATACACATAGTCTTTTAGCAGAGTTTAGGAGCTGCCGTGTTTAAGTGAGATTAAACCTCCCTTTCCTGAAAATGGAAGAATCACTTTCAGGATAGGAACATTTTACTGCCGACCAAGGAAAAATGCACAATGCGCCAAAACCGCTGCAAAATGCGGCAACCGCGGGTACCGCGTTTTTGCCAGGATTTGCATTTACTCAGATGGCGGTCAGGGTAGGCTCATGTTCTGCAGCTAAATATTTTCTTTATGTTTTGCATAGCACGGAGAGGTAAACTTTTTCCAGATTTTTGTTGTTGACTATTTTCCATTTGAGGAGATTTCCTCTCACATCCTGTTCTAGTGAGAGGTGGGTAGTGGGACATAAAGTTACAGGAAATCATTCCAATGGGATCAGAATAACACATTTTCCAGTACAGTAGAAAAAAAGGTGTAAATACTATAAAATTAAGGACATACACAAGTACTGAAAATGTGAATTTCTTCCTGTTGACGTTGTATGTAAATATTTTGCTTGTATTGCATGCTGCAAATTAGTGTTGAAAAAATTCTAGTTACATAAACAGTTCAAATTTATTATAGTTGTGGGGCCTGGTCAGGGGGATGCCATAGAAGAAAAGTGTTTTTTCTTTATTTCTTATATCTTTTTCAACACTTATTGAGTCTAATGTCTTGCTAGGTAAGCAATGGAAGGGGTAAGAGGACATCATTGTTGGGTCATGCTGATCTTAATCTGAACCTGTATAATGACAATGCATCTTTTAGCTTTGCTGCACAGTTACTGCTGCATTGTTACTTCACAGTACATTGTAAATTTAGAAATCACTAGCATTCACCACTGATCACAAATAGAATAATCGTATACGTTTTTACAGTGTTTATCATTTTACTTCATGATTATGTTATATTATCTAATAATTAGTTATTCATCTTCCAAACCTCAAAGAATTGCTTTAGCTACAGAACACAATAGACACCTCATAGAGCATCACTAGTCCATAGCTAGCTGTAGTTTAACCAGTTCCTGCCTGGCCTATAGTCAAATGACTGCCAGGTGGGACATTCACCTTTCCTGGGAGACGTCATATGACATCCTCCCGGAACACACCTCACGCACGCCCCATGGGTAGTGCTACGGCATGATCTGTCCCCCATTGTGTCCACCAGACACAGCAGATGACTGATCAGTGTACCAGCCACTGCTGATACAATGCGATCACTGTGACCAATCACACCAGATGACATGAAACTGCACACAATGGATGGCATTCATTCATGCCGTCTATTGTGTACTATTGTGTTATGCAGGCCATAGATGGGTCGAAAATCGGCCGTTTTTTCGGCCGAAAATAAAATCAGCCGATTTTTGGATCGTTAGTGGGTTAATTGTTCGGCCGTTTTTTCGGTATTTTGGCAGATTTTTTTTATCGGTAAAGTTGGGAATAAATCGGCCGATTTTGCCGCTCGGCCAATTTTCGCGGCAATGATGGGCAAATCGGCCTATTTTTTACCGATAAAAAAATCTGCGCATGAGCAGTGACCTGCAAGAGGAAGACAAAAAGAAGAAGAAAAAGAAGAAGAGAGGATGAAGAAGCAGAAGAGGAAGAGGATGAAGAAGAGGAGGAAGAAGAAGAGGATGAAGAAGAAGAAGAGGATGAAGAAGAAGAGGATGAAAAAGAGAAGAAGAAGAGGAAGAAGAAGAAGAGGATGAAGAAGAAGAAGAGGATGAAGAAGAGGATGATGAAGAAGAAGAGGATGAAGAAGAAGAAGAGGATGAAAAAGAAGAAGAGGAAGAAGAAGAAGAGGAAGAAGAAGAGGAGGAAGAAGAAGAGGATGAAGAAGAAGAAGAGTATGAAGAAGAGGATGAAGAAGAGGAAGAAGAAGAAGAGGATGAACAAGAAGAGGATGAAGAAGAGGATGAAGAAGAAGATGAAGAAGAGGATAAAGAAGAGGATGAAGAAGAGTAAGAATAAGAAGAGGATGAAGAAGAGGAAGAAGAAGAAGAGGATGAAGAAGAGGATGAAGAAGAAGAGGATGAAGAAGAGGACGAAGAAGAGGATGAAGAAGAAGAGGATGAAGAAGAAGAGGATGATGATGAAGAAGAAGAGGATGATGAAGAAGAAGAAGAGGATGAAGAAGAAGAAGAGGATGAAGAAGAGGAAGAGAAGAAGAAGAGGATGAAGAAGAGGAAGAGAAGAAGAAGAAGAGGATGAAGAAGAAGAGGAAGAGGAAGAAGAAGAAGAAGAAGAAGAAGAAGAAGAAGAGGATGAAGAAGAAGAAGAGGATGAAGAAGAGGATGATGAAGAAGAAGAGGATGATGAAGAAGAAGAAGAGGATGAAGAAGAGGAAGAAGAAGAAGAAGAGGATGAAGAAGAGGAAGAAGAAGAAGAGGATGAAGAAGAAGAAGAGGACGAAGAAGAAGAGGATGAAGAAGAGGATGAAGAAGAAGAGGAAGAAGAGGATGATGAAGAAGAAGAGGATGAAGAAGAGGATGAAAAAGAAGAGAAATTCCAGTCCGGAAAAAAAGTGTCCCTGCAGAGAGCCCCAATATTTCTTTGACAGTTCCTTGACATTTATAGCGGTTGCAACAATGTATCTATTTGTTTCCGAATAAAAACATCTGTATCCTAAATGGATACAAATAGATACATTGTTGCAACCGCTATAAATGTCAAGGAACTGTCAAAGAAATAGCGGAGCTCTCTGCAGGGACACTTTTTGCTGGCTGTAGACAGGATGAAAATTGGCTGATTTTTTTTTTTTACCATTGCTGGTAAACGACTTGAACGACTGATTTTTCATTTTTTTAAAAGAAAAATCGTCCGATTTTCGACCCATCTATGGCCCGCATTACTTGCTGTGATTGATCAGTGACCACATTTCACAGACAGGGCCAATAACAGCCCATCTGTACCATGTGATTAGCTGTGGTTAGTCACAGCTAACCACAATAGTGCGCACTGATTGAATCAATTTTATTCATTAAAAATGGTTACTTATACCAGTGAAGTTCACTGGTATAAGCAATCATAATGAGTAAAAAAATCCTGATCACTCCACCAAAGTAGTGCAATGTTATTATGGTAACAATATATTGTTCTAGTCACAGGGTCACAGTGTGAAAACAAATTTGAAAAATAGAAAATAAATGTAATAATAAAGGATTTTTTTTTAAAGTGAAAATAAATTATTGAAAAAATGTGTTTTGGGTTTTTTTAGATACTGTCATCTGAAAAATTGAAAAATAGAAAATAAATGTAATAATAAAGGATTTTTTTTTTAAAGTGAAAATAAATTATTGAAAAAATGTTTTTGGGGTTTTTTTAGATACTGTCATCTGTCAGAGTCCCTGGTCATTGCCAAACCAGTTATGTGATGACACTGTACTGCACTGGTGACAGTATGTAAAAAAAATTAGAAAAATCCCCAATTTTTAAAATGTCATAATTTTCCAAGAAATTGTGACAAAAAAATTTACAGCTTCAAAAAACTTAACATGCCTCTTGCTAAATAGCTTGAACTGTCTACTTACCAAAAAGGG